AAAGCCTCATCTATCTCCCTCAGAGCAGCTAATGGGTTCAAACTCTTAGCTCACTAACCCTGCCACCAGGGTTCCTATATTCACCTATATGAGAGACTTTTTGAAAAAGAAAATAGCTCTTCTTTAGCTTTCCAACATATATGATAAAAGTAAAATTAATCATTTACTTAATGAAGTTCATAAGAACAACAAGAAATTAGCCATTTGTTACTAAAGGGAAACCATCGGTTACCATCGGAGTATATTGGATTTTATTGCACAACAGCAATGCTTTCTAATTTGGATGATTCATTTCCAAACAGATTTCAAAATGATGCTTTTCAAAAAAAATGCATATTTATTAGTTGTCAGCATTTGTTACTGTCACTATTACCTAAATATGTGAACCTATACATAGAACAAGAGGCAATGGTTTGAACAGATACTGCTTGGTTCAAAATCACATAAAGGTGTATGTCAGGCATATATTTATTCAGTCTGTATGCTGAGCAAATAGTCTGAGAAGCTGGATTAATAAGAAGAATATAGCATCCATATTGGGGGAAGATTTATTAACAGCCTGGGCTATGAAATTGACATAGCTTTGCTCGCTGAAGCCAAAAGGCTTTGAAGCACTGACTAAAGATCAGACTACAGCCTTCAGTATGGATCACACCTCACCATAAAGAAAATAAAAACCATCACAGCCTGACCAATAAGCAGCATAACGACAAATAGAGAGATCTTGAAATTGTCAAAGATTTCATTTTGCTTAGATCCACAGTCAACACCCATTGAAGCAGCAATCAAAAAAGCAAGCGATGTCTTTCATTGGGCAAATCTGCTACACAAGACCTCTTTAAGTGGCAAAAAGCAAAGATGTCCCTTTGGAGGACTAAGGTGTCAAGACACAGCATTTTTAGTCACCTCCTATGCTTGTGAAATCTGGACAGTGAATAAGGAAGAAGGAAGAATCAGTGCATTTAAGCTAGGGTATTGGTAGACATATTAAAGATACCATGGAAAAAAAATAAAGATACCATGGATTGCCAAAAGAATTAAAAATTATGTCTTAAAAAAAGTACAACAGAATGTTCCTTTAGAAGTAAGGTTAGTGAGACTTGATCTCAAGTATTTGGGACACCAGGAGGGACCACTGCCTAGAGAAGGTCAGCAAGCAAGAGGGAAACGTAAACATGAGGAGTGGACACAGTGGCTGCAGCAGTGGGCTCAAACACAGCAATGTTTGTGAAGATGGCGTAGAACTAGGCAACATTTCATTCTCTCCTATGTGGAGTCTCTGTGAGTTCTGGGACAGAACACCTCGCAATAACAAATTGCATACAACTATATGTATACAGCTAAGAGTTAAATTGCTTCATCTTTCTATTGAACAAATGGCTAAATACCTTCAATCTGTCCATGAATACAGTTTTTTTTGCATGTAACATGCCCACATGAAGGTCCACATTGCAAATAATGCTCATAGTTCACATAAGAAACTGATGTGTGAGGGGGTTGCATGCTTTGCAAAACCTATCGTATGTTTATTAGCATTATTGAAATACAGTGTTGTAGATGCTGGAGGTATAGAAATGATAGGAAAGGAAAGGATCCTGCCCTCAGGGAATTTGTGTGAAGAGAGTAATAAAATAAGGAATAAAATTTGAAAAAGCA